CCAAATATATCAGGATCCCCAAGTTGCCGGGGACACGCTCCCAGAATCGGAATTTGCTATGGCTCTTATTACATCACTTCCATCATCTTGGGACAACTTTATCACCTCAATTGATTTCACAGATCTGGCGGAAATGGATGATAAAAAGAGAATGGCAGCAGTTAATTCGATTATCTCCAGAATCAGGGGGGAATCCAATTGGCGCAAATCACAAAACAATTCTACCATGCCTACAGCCTTCAATTCAACCAATTCCAACACAAGAAATCCTAAAACAAAGCTGGATAAATCTAACTCGGAGTGCTGGTACTGTCACAAGAAGGGACATTGGATACAGGAGTGCCGAAAAAGGATTGCAGATGAAAAGAGGAAGGGTGGAGAGAAAAATGCAAATATCGTGTCCAACAATGGAAATGATACGCAATCATTTGCCTTTGCTGGAGCGAATACGCACTTCGGGAATTCTTGGATTGGTGATTCCGGTGCGAATCACCATATAGTTCGGGATCGCGATTCATTCAATGAATACCATCCCATTTCAGGCCAATTCTTAAATGGAGTTGGAGGAATTAGAACTCCAATCCAAGGCCACGGAACCGTTCTCGTTACCTTGCAATCGGACTCAGGATCCCATACAGCCACGCTTAGGGACTGTTACCATATCCCATCAAATGATGGTAACCTATTATCCTTGCGATGTTTTGACCACACAGGCGGAACAATCCAAATTAAGTCTGACCAAATCAAATTGTTCACACCAGACGGTTCAGAATTATGCACAGGACAAGCAAATGGCAATTCATTGTATAAAATGAATATGTCTATTCTAAAGAAGCCGATTGCGATGGCAGGAACTACAGGAGGGGATAAGGAAGGAAGAACATGGGAGGAGTGGCACAGGGCAATGGGGCACATCACGCCCCAGTCCCTCAAAACAATGATGGAACAGGGAAATGTTGATGGAATGAAAATAATCCCATCCCCATTAAACTTTGAATGTGAAGCATGCATTCAAGGCAAATCCACAGCGCAACCGGTGCCCCGGGAATCCAATACAAAGTACCAGGAAATCAGGGAACTTATCGTTACTGTTACGGGGATGGGGGAAATTCCCCATTCCTCGATCCGTTCTTATAGTGGGATGATGAGGGTCATGTCTAGTCTGTACCATAACGGGATATGTAATCGATGAGTGATCCCAGTCTTGCCTGGGAGCGGACGATCGAATTCCCATCGATCGCGATTGGTGATGTAGTGAGCTATTAAGGGATTGATGATAGGTAGTCGGAGATACCAGGACAGACGGGTCAGCCACGGGTACTTGGCGCTCCTCAATGGAGCGTACCGTGTGCGAGGTCGCGACTTGTGAGATGGGTGAGAACTTCGTGTAGTTGCCATCGGGTACTTGGCGTTCGCAGTGCGAACGTACTGGTAGCAGGTTGATATCATAGGCGTGCAATGAGGACTGACTATTAGGGCCTTCAGTGACTTGGCGTTCCCAAAGGGAACGTACTGTTGGCGGGGAAACATGATGACTGGCGAAGGAAGAAACAGATGGTGGATGGGCAGCTACTTGGCGTTCGCGTAGCGAACATGCCGGCATCACGGGTAAGTGGGCCTCAGAGTGTTCACGATCTCCATGATCATGATGGGACATCGTGTGTCGAGTACTGGGGGGAGAGCGTAGTGAAGAGGACCCATAGGGTACATATTCCAAAGGACGAAATTCAGGTCGAGAGTCTTCGACTCGCGACCTCGAGTTCTCACGGCGAGGGCCATTAGAGGACTCGATATAACCAGACATATAAGACATATTGAGAGTTGTACAATCACATGGGTTCAGTTGAGTCACAGAGAGAGTTGTTACAGAAGACGGTACACGAGACAGTTGTAGAGCAGTTGTTAGTTAGCGGGAACCGCCTTCGGCGGTTTCCGTACAAGACGCGTGACTATCTACAAATGGTAAGGTCGCGGGAAATCCTGCGAAACACAAATAACCTCGGCCAGCACCAAAACCCCAATTGGGGAAAGCTTTGCACGAGGGGGGGGAAAGGGGTAGAACAGGTAAGGAGGATAGGGTATTGGGATAGAGGACAGAAGGGAGAAAGAGGGGAGGAACGATAGAGAGGAGAAGTCTTTGACCATGTGACGGATATGGTCGTTGGAGACTCCGTATCCGTAACAGTTACCGACCTCTGGGGACCAGTGCAAGTCATGGGAAAAGGGGGAGTCAATTATTTTATTTCATTCACAGATGCCGCAACACGTTTCTCAGTAGTTGATTTCCTTAAGGAGAAATCCGATGCATTCGAGGCATACAAACAATTCGAATCCCGATTATGGACTCAATACAGTCGCAAAATCAAATGCATTCGATTCGACAGCAGCACGGAATTCCTGAACAACAGATTCATTACCCATTTACGCAACCAGGGAACACTCCATCAAACCACTGCTCCACATTCCTCTTCCCAAAATGGCATTGCAGAGCGGTTAAACTGCACATTATTGGATCATGCTCGTGCAATGTTGTTTGATTCTAAATTACCAAAAACATTGTGGACATATTCAATTGCTTATGCATGCTATTTAAAAAATTGCTCTCCCATGCGCGCACTCGATGGAAAAACTCCCTATGAGATGTTTTTCAATGCGAGGCCAAACATTAATTCAATTCACATATTTGGGTCGGATGTTTGGGTGCTGGACCAAGACCAAAAGGGGAAACTGGACCCGTGTTCCAACAAGTATAGGTTTATTGGATTAACCGATAATACATGCGCAATTTACTACTACAAGCCAGAAAGTGGAGTAATTGCAAAATCAAGGAATGTTATTTTTCCCCATCCCCATAACCCCCACCCCAATGTCGAAATTCCCATTCCCATTTCCAGTCCACCTGAGGGGGAGCCTCAGTCAAATGATCCGCAGACGGACGTGGAAAACCAGGAGAAAGAAGCAGAACAGGTGCCTGGCAATTCAAAAGAAGCGGGATCTGTGGAAGCAACGGAAGCCAATTCATCGCTTAGCCGAAATGAATACATGGGAATCCGAACGAGAAGCCAATTGAAACGAATTCAATCCCCATTAGTCCAAATTAGGACAGATCATGGACCAGTCAGAACCGAAAATCAAGATTCCCTTGCGCATGCAATGGCTGCAACAGAATCCAATAGCCCGGATATCCGTGAAGCATTACAGCGCTATGATGCTGAGGATTGGTGCTCAGCAATGGATGCCGAAGTGGCCCAACTTCAAAAGTTGAACACCTTTGAATTGGTCCCTCTGCCAGCAGATCGTAGAATTATCGGTTGCCAATGGGTCTTAACCACAAAAAGAAATACAGAAGGGGAAATAATCAAATACAAGGCCCGGCTTGTCATGCAGGGATTTTCTCAAATTCCAGGAATGGATTTTGATGAAACCTTCTCGCCAGTGATGCAACTAGAGTCATTCAGGGTTTTATTGGCTATCACAATTCAATTGGACCTCGAAATACATCAAATGGATGTTGTTGGGGCGTATCTGAATGGAGAATTGGAGGAGGAAATATACATGAAGCAAATCCCGAAGTACGAGGATGGCACGAACAGGGTCCTTCACCTAAACAAGACTCTGTATGGCCTTAAACAGGCAGGGCGGGTGTGGAACCGACGACTACATAAGGCATTAACCGAATTAAGTTACATGCACTTATTCACTGACACCTGCATTTACGTGCATCACCAAAACGGGAAAATATCAATTATCACCTTCCACGTCGATGACTCCGCCATATTTGCCCCTGCAGATCATATTGAATTCGTTAAAAATGAACTCAAGTCAAAATTCGACACCCATGATCTTGGAGAATTAAATCACTTTGTTTGGATTAAAATTTCCCGAGACCGGAGCAACAATTCAATCACGATCTCGCAAGAACAATACATTCGTGACATAATTGAACGTCCCAGAATGATTGATTCCAATCCAGCGCCTACCCCAATGCACCCGAAACAGGCCTATGAAAAGTTCTCAGGCCCGCGCCCAGATTACCCCTATTCAACAATGATCGGATCGCTTATGTGGGCTGCATTATGCACGCGCCCAGATATTGCCTTTGCCGTTCATCACTTTGCACAATTCAATAATTCTTGTGGTCCGGAACATATTTCTGGAGTCAAATTGATATCTAAAGGGGGCAATCAATCACGGAATTACCTATTCAAAATCGGATTCCGGATTAACGGCAATTGGGGATGCAGACGCGGATTGGGCAGAACAAAAGGACCGGAAATCTATTTCTGGTAACCTATTCATCATGTCAGGGGGAGCTGTCACCTGGAGCGCTAAGAAGCAAGGGACTATTGCCCTATCAACCATGGAAGCCAAGTATGCTTCCTTAAGTCACGCATCATGCCATATACTATGGCACCAAATGCTCATCCGGGAACTCGGATTCGATGCGGAGCGCCCATTCAATCTCAACAACGATAACCGTGGGGCTATTGCATTAACTCGTGACCCCCAATTTCACGGCCAGAGCAAACATATTGACATACGGCATCACTTTATTCGGGAATTAATCGAACACGGCGATCTCAGAATTCATCATGTCCGCTCATCCAACAACTTGGCTGACATTTTTACAAAGCCACTTCCCGAAGCCCTATTCACTAAGTTTGCATCCGTTATTGTACAGGATACATGACTCGAGGGGGAGTGTTGAAGCCACGAGTCACCGGAACCTTCCGGGGCATTCTGGATTATTGTGGGAAATCGCTAGAATATTCCCGCTTAGTCTGTGCTTGCATACGCGCGCTTGCGCAGTTACTTATTTTACCTATAATATCATTGTAATACATTTCGTGTATCTATAAATACGCACAGACGTGCGTTGAGCAGAATCATCAGAAAGTTTTCTAGCTTACCTCTGGTCTCGCGAGTATAACCGCTGAAGCAAGCGGATTGCCTTATCAGGAATCCCTACATTACAACACCCCTGCTATTAGATGCGACATAAACGTCGTTGAGCCTGGAACGGACCTTCAGGCTTCCTTGCCGTCAGAATTTCTAAGTCATGTTATGTCAACATTCACCGCACCAGACACTAAGCTTAAAGAGCTAAGGCCTGACAGCCTCAGCTATGTTTCAGTCCCAGCTAAGGAAACGTCGGAGACCTTCATACGCAACACCACAGCCGCTTGTTATACGCCCACTGCAATGGAATTCCCTCCATTCTCCATGTGCGATTCTGGACTGCCGGAGCAAAAGCTTAAAGAGCCAAGGCCTGACGGCCTTGACTATGTGCTAGAAGATCAGAAAGCAGCCCATACTGAGGATTCAGGAGCTGCTGGAGGTTCTTTGGCTTTATCTGGTCCGAATTCCACGGGATTTGTCGAGCACGCCGGTACCGCTAAGGGAATGGCTACAGCTCAAGATTTCCCGCACATGCATTATGAGCCCGTTGCTGTGGAGTCGTCGCCTGTGATTGTTCAGAACTCAGAGACTGGATGCGCCGCTGTCAAGCCTGAATCAACGGAAGCCGCGATGATAGCTCGCATAGCGCCAAAGTCTTTCACTGGACTTGAAATCTGTTTTCTTGCCAACTTCTTGACTGCACAAGAGAAGCCCGTTGTCCACGCCGAAGTCACTGAAGTCATACGCCCGCCAGAAAACTGCGAACGCCCTAGTAGGAGCCACGGACATTATCCATGCCGATCCCGAGGGCTTAGCTGCAACAGTTATGACAATAGTGTTTCTGACCAATGTGCTCATCGTCGATCTTCCATCCTGCAACCAGAGCCAGAGATCAATAATCAAGCTGTTCCTTGCAGCGCTAGTCCCAGTACACTGCATCGGCCATGCGCCCTCAAGTCGATCTCAAGGGAAGAGCTTGCTCCGATCAGATCCCTACCTGCCAACATGTTCATCGACCACAGTAACATGCCTGAGACATCGAAATCGCACAAGCCAGAGCTCCCTCACAGGAAGAAACCACCCGATAAGCGGACTGCAACGCCCACTTCCCCTTCCAATCAAATGGCCATCTGGGAACCCTTCGCAGACATCACCGCTGACAGAAAGGAAGTCGATGTGGAACCACAGAAGTCGCCCGTCGCCTACCAGCTCGCACTCCATACCCCTTGGCAAGTAGAGCCGCCACAAATTCCACAAGTTCAGGACAAGGAGATTATGTCCATGCCCCGAGTGCTCAATTCCTTAGCCGAACCCTCAATTTACAGTGTATTTGATCAAGATAACTACGCTTTAGTCGTTCCCTCAAGAGATTTGGCCACCTTTGACGCCAGACACATGGCCGATGTCTCCATCGATGACTGTGTACTCAATGGATCCCATTATATCAATCAGTTCTCGCAAGAAATCCCCCCGATTCGTCGATTTGAGTGGGAATATGCGAAAAATCCACATGAACCGTTAGCATACCGAGAACTAGGCATTGTAATGGAAGTCTCTGGTACTAGAATGGTACTCGCCAGACCACAACTGGCCATGCTGGGCGCTATAATCTCCATTAATGGCATGCATGTATTCCACGGTGTTACTGCCAAACCCGTCAAGCTTAGAAACCCGTCCAAAGTGCAAGGATTTCTCGGAATGATGTTTCGCAACGAATTCAAGTGGATGCACGGCGCTGAAGAAGCAGTGAAGCGGTTCATGGGGTTAGCGGCCAACGCAGTATCGATAGATTCATTGGACCTTAAACTTGCATCACAAGCTGAATCCTCGGACCTTGAACCCGTTGTGAATGGAAGTAAATGCATCAGAGCTTTCTCCAACGCTGTTGAATGGTTTGTCAATGATACCATAAATTCAGAATTGTCCCCAGCGCTCCCTGCCAATCTCAAACACGACACTAGAGGCGAAGGTTAGCCGTAAGAAGGAGTCCATTCCAAAGAAGGGGCGTCCGCGTACCCTCATCTATTTATCCGTTGCCGATGCGACATGCACATTCCTTTGCCCTATCCAGCATGACTCGTTTTATTTATACATTAAGGATGTTGAGGATATCGTGAGGGACCACGATCAAGAGCAAGGCCTATATGTTGTGGGGACAACTCCGTGTACCGCAAAAAGTCGGATTCTGCGGAATTTGGTCACCAACACGCAGTACATATCCGCTGACGCTCCCGATACTCATTCTATCACTATCCAACACTCCATACACTCACTCCATATTTTTCCATATTTTCCCCATCATTCCCGACAACCCCAAGCAAAATTCCCATGCCCAACCATGCCGCCAATTTCACCCCCTCTCCAGACCTCCATACCCACACTCACAACCCAGCCGTTTTTCCACCCGATAGTGATGCTCTACCACCCTTCTTCACCCCCAGAGCATTTTCCAGAATGGCAATCCCATACCCGGATGGTTCAGCACGGAGTATACTCTCATGTGGTCTTGACAGCACCTGTCAATGGCCACATCTCAAGAAGTACTGCACCAAATGGAACGAATAGGGGCTCGTTGGGAAGCTGGAGACGAGGAGGTTGCTGACGGGAGGATAGGCGGGCGCTGTGGCGAACTGTTGCGGAGTGAATTTTCACAATTCCCATTTCGGACCCGTTGTCACATTTTCCCCATTCATTCATATTTCTTTTATTGTTTCTTTGTTCCCAATTGGATATTCATCATTTACGGTTGCCTAACGGCCCGTTTACATTCCCCCATGCCATTCATTCCATTTCAAACATATATAAACTAAATAACAGCTTGTACATAACAAGTTAGTATTGAATAGACCCATGAAGGGACAAGCAGAAGTTGCATCCAAGGGGCAAAGACGCCATCCACAACTCTAACGCCCCCTCTGAGCTAGTTGCTCACGTCTAAGACCCCTCACATCATAATACTCAGTGTCATATCCATCCCCGGCCATCGACTCCCGATCCCTCTGATCCCTCCAGTCTACCTCCGCTCCTTCTCCACTAACCTTGGAGCTCCCATATTCTGCAATCCCCTCGGTACCCCTTGATGGTCACCACCCCCTCCTTTCAATTTATTACCTACACCTCCCTAAGTACAGAGCCCCAAAGACTTCTGGACAGCTCCAACATCCGCTAGTGCACCCCTGCCTCCGCTGGGCAATACACTCGCTTGCCCTGCAAAGCCCACCTTTGGGCCTATCCCTCCTTTCCATTTCTGGGTTATCGCCTACCTTTCCATTAACCCTGTAACCCGACTCGTCGGTAATATTCAATTGGCTAATGTCTAAACCCGTTAGCTCTGCTCTGCTTGGCTCCACCATTTGCGGACCTGCCCTTGTTGTAACTATATATATACTCAACTTGTACATAGTTTACACCTCAGTAATAAAATCGACTAGAGTTTACCCCCTTCAGTTCTGGTTGCCAGTTTAGTAAGTTAGGGCACGGACATGTTACTTGGCACAGCGCTCCTGGCATAAGTCGCTGAGGCTGAAGCCCTCTGCCATGGAGACATTCCCTCATCTCAACCTGGTCTCTGACACTCAGCCTTGACATCCAAGAGAGACGTAGGTGAGTGTTTGTTTGAGGTTTTTGCAGACTCAGTAGCGCCCCAGGACCAAAACCTGGCTCCACGAACCACACCTGCACACACTACCACCCTCCCCCTTCTCTCTGTCTCGAGTCTAGGTGATAGACCCGTTACAATGTACCACATCTGGAAGGTCTCTCCATGAACAACCCCGAGTTCGAAATACTCAGGGAGTGGTGGAGAGAGAAATTTGAAACCATAATGGTGCCAGTGCCATTAGAAATGCCTCCCCATCGAATCCTGTTGAAGGATCCGAACAAGAAATTTGGGGAAAACACCCTGAGATGTCCTGCAGCACTGCAGGAAGCACTAGCGACCAAAATAGATTGCTATGTAAAAGCAGGATGGTGGTATCCTGCAAACAGTGAGCAAGCATGCCTGCTACTGTGTATCCGCAAAGCAGATGGATCTTTGCGCACAGTAATAGATGCAAGGAATCATAACTCAAACATGATCATCGACGTCACACAAATGCCAGATGTTAGAATCAGGGGATTCGGACGACTCCGGAGTGGAATCGGAGACTTAGCGTGGAAGGACCTCAGCCTCAGCGACTCAGGCGGAGCGCTGTGCCATTGCTGGTTGTCCTGGGGGTCCCTAATTTTGGATCTAGCAGAGGGAAAGTCTCTTGGGGGGAATTCAGGTCGATTTCGGACTGAGGTTACAAGTTACTAGGTACATTGTATATAAGGAGGGGTCCGGAATCAAAAGGAACAAGGGTAGGACGAAAGGAGACAAAGGGAGATGGGAAGAGGAACAACACCGAGGGTCAAGGGTTTGACTCAATGGTGTTTCTCAAAGGAGGAATGAAGGGCCAAGGCCCAAGGAGGAAGGAAGGAGGTTGGGAGTGGGGAATGGCTAGCTGACTGAATAGAAAGGAAGCAGCAGCCCAAATAGGAATGAGGGAGAATAGCGGAATTGAATAGGACAATGCAATAGTTGCAAGGTCCGAGGTAAGTCCGGAAAGTCCGAACTCGGAAGTTAAACTCCGGAATATTGGCAAACATAATTAAATGGAATGAGCTAACCAATACAATGGGTATAAGTGGAGGTGGGGTCAAAGTCCGAGGTCGGAGCTAAGACCGGAGGTTCCGGAGATGGAGACGTGAATGGGATTCCGGAGTGGAGGTCCGGAGTCAGGAGCATAGGTTTTGCGTACTTGTCTGGAAGGTGTCGAGGTTGGGGTCGGACCCGGAATGTTCCCGAGTCGGACCGAAGGTGGTGTCAGAGCCGGAGGTGGGATAACCTCTTGGGAGTCGGCAAGGAGGAGGTGACGGAAGGGAAGTAAGACTCCGGAAGTCAGGTTCGGAGTTCCGGGAGCCCGGAGCGGAGGTCGGAATTGTATGGATATGACACCAGACATGCAACTGATCCAAGAATCAGTCACCAGAGCAACATACCGATCCAAGATCGATATGTTGGATGCGTACAAACAAATATGCATGGATCCAGATGACATCCATAGGATGACATTCTCTATGCCCTACAGGACGTACAACTCGAACATGATGCAGCAAGGAGACTGCAACACTCCCTGTACTTTCCAGCACGTGCTGACCTGGGAACTACAAGGAGAAGTAGGCAGATGCCTACACATCTGGTTCAACAACATATTCACCAGCACAAGCTCAGTGGAGAACCACAATAAAACATTATTGTGGTTGTTCACTCGCCTCAAGGGGGTGAAGTTTTTACATAAGGTGGAAAAAATTCTGGCCATTTGCTCCAATCCTAGACGTTCTAGGAAGCTGCATGGACGAACAAGGCATCCACGCTCAAGCAGATAAAATGGAAAAAATCCGCAACTGGCAAGAGCCAACACACAGGAGTCCTAAGATTCCTGGGAGTGGTGGAATATCTATCAATATTCATGCCAAATGTCAGTGGCTACACAGGACCACTGCAAAGAAGGCAAGACAACCTCATGGGAGGCCGTGAATTCACAGTAATCACGGACCACAAAGCTTTGGAATATTTCAAAGCGAAAAACCACAACTCAGGAAGACACCTGAGATGGCAAGCCTTCTTCACAAGCTTCAATTGCGAAATAAAATACGTGGAAGGCCACAAGAACAAAGTGGCAGATGCACTTTCATGGTACCATGACTTGTCAACTGACAAGGATCTGCATTTCGATGACTATGTGTCGGCAGACATCCATCTGGACAAAAATGCAGAAGATACTATCCCCGACAGAATCGAGGAATACGAGGAACTGCTGCTAAGCAGTGCCCTGAGTAAAAACTCAGAGAAAAAGAGACTCGCAGCAATATGCATGAGAAATACCCTAGAGGAAGCTCTAGGGGGGAGCGATAACCTAGAGGAAACTCTAGGGGGGAGCACCCAAAACCTGGAAGAAATCATAATTCCAGAAGAGAACCTTCAAAAACAATTCAAAGGAAAAGACCTCATTGAGGCAATGAAATCTGGATACTCGCAAAGCCAGATCCACCAGGAAATCCTAGAGAACCTGGGGAATTTCAAAAACTTCTCCATAAAAGATGGGCTGATAACCCGACTTGGAGAAGGAGGAACGACACAAATAGTAGTCCCGAAAGGGAATTACAAAAGGAAGTCCATTCGAGGAATAATCCTCGAAAACATCCATGAAACACTTGGACACTTAGGATCCAAGAAAACAATGGAAACCCTCCATCGATACTTCTGGTGGAACTTGATGAGGAAGGACACCCACAAGTTCTGCAGGTCTTGCAGAACTTGTCAAACAACAAAGAAAAGCACCAGGAGAAATCCCGGACTGCT